CCTGTTGAATGCGCCAAAGTTCTAGTTTTAACATCCACATCATGTCAAACAGACACAACTCTCAAATTACTCGCTTTAATGCGCTTAAAACATTTTTGACTAAGACGCTCTATGGAAGCCCATAATATGTATCTTTCATCGTAAGCAGGATATGTTATAGACGAATAACTTAACTTATAATTCATTTAATCTAGAAATTTCTTTGTAAGATTGTAACAAAATCCTGGAAATATGATCGCGTCCACGCACTTTACGGGAGTTTAACTGTCAGTCTGTCGACAATTTATTTCATGCAGGGACGCCAGCATGACGTGTAATTGTACATAATCGTGCGTGCATCTACTACCTCAATGGTAAATTACAAATCTTCGAAATCTAGCCTTAGGTCGTCCACTTATAAATGGAAAACCATACAGCCATACACACTAAAACATAAATAAAAAGATGGCTCATGGCTAAAAACCTGCAATGAAAAGAAATCCCAGCAGATGCATGTAAAAGTAGCTGTATGTCTTTTTTAAAGAATTTAAACTGAAAGTATGTAATACTTGTTAATACTACACGAAATCTAAAGGCTATATAATATAGAAAACTGAAAAATCTTTTGAAAATCTATTGGTCAAAAAGAGAAGATGACAAACATAGCTCAATAAAACATTAAGTTAGTAGCAAGATTAAATAAAGAAAACCACAACCATGCAAGTCATGTAATTACGTGGCAATTTATCATAATTTGTCACAAAAGTTAGACTGTGTTATTCAACACAATCATAAAAGTGGGTTTAATTAACCAAACAAGTCATTGGTAGGTATAACATCGTTTCTTCAAAATCGTACTTTCATGTATGAAAATGCATTCTCTACTCCATAATGCAAAAGAAACGTGGTAAAGGAAAATTGAAAAAATGACACAGGTGTGATCACAAAATAAAAATCTAACGTCTTCGCATGTTATGAAATATTGACGTGTCACAAATTGAAAATGTGTTCATTATATCCTTTCTCCAGCCTGCTCAAACACATGGCCAACGTATTTTCGTTATATAAATAGTGACAAAAAACTAATAAACTTTGTCAACTTAGGGGATGTTTACATAAAATTGAAAGAGCTATGATTTTTGGATATTTGAAGTTTGAACGTAATTAAATGATTAAATCAGAAAATGAATTTACCTCAAAAGGCGAGTTCACCTCAGATTACAAAATATGTTTTGACAAATAATCACGAGGTATCAGGCTACTAGATACATCACATAAGAAAGTAAACACATATCGAAATAGCTTTATGACAATGCTTTGGTGTTGAACCTTAAAGGTTTTCTACTTGAACAGCATTCAAGTAAGTGTTTTTGTTGAATAGCTTGAGTATGGTCCAATCTTTCGAGACCGTTTCATTAACTACGCAAAACTATTAACAATAAATTGCACACAAACTTTAACTTAAATAAAGTATGTTCGAGAAATGGTAATGCACATTAACCCTCATCAAAGGTGCTCATTTTACTCATTATCCCCAACATATGTAAGAAGCTGCATTCTTCAAACCAAAATTTTGATTTGGAAGCGAGATCAAAACAAGTATTCATCTTACTCACTAAAATTAATATAACTTTCACGCAAGCGAGCAAATGTTTCTCTGAAAACACTTACCGAGACGCAGAAGTAACGGAGAAATGACAGCAAACTATCACACAGAAAAATGCCCACCAGTAATTGAATGGCAATCTTGTTTCCATCTTGCTTTCCTTGTAATTCAGTTGCGATTATTTCTCGTGTGCAATTTATGCCAGTCAAATATGCGATGTCATTAAAATACAGGAAGTCTATGCGTTTAGAAAGACGACAGTTGATGGAAGATTCCTTTCAAGCTTTCATCACATATGGTAGTTATATAGAGATAAAAACAACTTCGATCATACATTCTATATTCATCATATCTGAGAATTTTTCTTGTGCTTTCAAGGTTCACGACTGTAAATGATTCCTGTAGTATATATGTAATCACAATTTTGAAAAGAGATGATAAAAAAGAGCAAACGATCACAAGTGATTGCTTGAAGGTTTCATGTTGTAGAACCCCAATACAGCTCTATGGAGCAGTGATTGATTTTCTCATGTATACTTTGGTCAGTGTTACTGATATTGCTCTTCGTGTCTTAATCGCAACTAGCAAACCACGAGTTGAAATGATTTCATTCGAATCAAAGGAAAAGAAAGTAATGAACAGTCTGAAGTCAACTGAGAATGAAGATTCTGTTGCTCGTCCTGTCTTTGACCTAGGAATTTAATGGCAAAAAATGACGAAGTTTCCCATCATTATATGGAAGTTGTGTGGGCTTGTACACCTGTGTTTTTCCTGCATGAGTTCACATGTACATAACATCGGGGTAAGAAACATACAAAATTGTACATATAGATACCATGGGCTTGTGACATATACATGAAAGAGAGTAATCAATGTTGCAAATCAATTGAAAAAATACGGTGTTACCATTGACTTCAATACAGCAGCAAATGATATGGAATTAGAAGATTTTATGTGTGACGAACTGTACGAGAAATGCTGCGTTAATGAAGCCACTGCTGGCATAAAGATTGCAAAGCATATTGGATACCCTATAATAATCAAGGCTTCCGAGGGCGGCGAAGGAAAAAAAAAAGAAATACGGCCATGAATGGTTTAATGAAAATAATCTAGATGTGGCCTGTTATGATGAAATAGGGAATAAAATGAAGCAGATATTCTTTGTTACGTTAGGGAAAGCTATTAAGAAGGTCTCTGTCTTTAGGAGAACAAATAAATCGTATGTTAAAAAACTTTTAACCCTCCTCCAATCTATTGAGGAGCTAAATAACGTGCCTTCTTTCTTTTGCAGAACAGAAATGCTAATCATGCCTCTTGTCCATACTTGTCTCTTGTCTCTTGGGAAAGTCTTACTTGTTTCTTGCAAAACTAAAATTGTCAATTGTCTTTTGGAGAACAAATCATGCGTCTTTGTCTATTGCAGAACTGTGCTAATTTTTTCTCTTCAGCAGAAAGTATCCTTTGTCCTTTCTATTTCCAAACAGGAGAATTTCCAGTCATGTGAATCATGTAAATATGCTGTTAAATACATGTTAAAAAAATAACTTTTTAATTTTGAAAAAGACTACTCATGCCATTCTCTGCTCGTCACAAGGAATTATACTGACAATCATAAAAGAAAAACAATGATAACAATCGTGTGGACATATTAATCATTATCTAGCAAAAAAGTGCAAGAGTGATTTGACTTTCAAATTAAAAAGAATAAATCATTGAGAAAAATTCAGACGACAAACTGTCTGTTCATTTTGTGACGTGCATGCATTTTAAATATAATACTACTCTAACTAATATACTAAATGATAGCTAATATAGTATAAAACTAATGTAATACTTAAATTTTTGTCTTCCTTGCTCAAATGAGAATTAATCTCTTTATGAGGCATAAAACAGTATCTTAGACGCTTTAAATTTGTTTCATCGCTTTGGACAGCTCAATGGATACATTTGACAATGAAAAGGGATGTTGCAAGAAGTTTGGGAAAAAGATATTTTATAAAACGCTCGTGATAGTTATGAGCATTATATATATGCATCAATTTATACATTACCATATGTTCTAATTATTCTAATTTGATGAAACAAACGAGATAATACACTAACAAATAATTCCCGTTATAAAAAGCTAGACAAAAGACTCCATCAGTTGTGAATGCTATAAATATATATCGTGTTGAAATAAATGTGATTTTTCTTATTAATTATGATTAATTTTTGCTTTGAAGAGCGTATTTGCAATGGTTAATGAGAACTACATCATATGTACTTCTAAAATTAACTGTCGAAAACCGAAATTAATATAAATTAAATGACAGCGTACATTTTGGCAGACTTTTCATTAGGTGCAACGTCTTCTTTAATGAAAACTAAAAAGTTTTCATTAAAGTTTTAGTTTCTAGTTTTCGTTGCAGCTGATGGGACTATATCTGCCAAATATAATTTATCGTAATTTTGATTTTCAACAGTTTGTCTTAGAACTAGCGAGGTTACAGTTGTCATTTACCGTGGCAAATACTCTACTCAAAGCAGTTTCTTACCACAACCAAGTGTTTGTTGAATGATAGCGAAGTTATAGTTGTCAATTACCGTGGCAAATACTCTACTCAAAGCAGTTTCTTACCACAACCAAGTGTTTGTTGAATGATAGCGAGGTTATAGTTGTCATTTACCGTGGCAAATACTCTAGTCAAAGCAGTTTCTTACCACAACCAAGTGTTTGTTGAATGATTATTATCATTATTACGTACTGTTTCTAAGACTTGTACGCAGAACACCTCAGAGAATCTCACTTATCAAAATACATAAAATAGAAAGGGAACTCATATTGTATGTGTTTTCTACAGTAATGGTTATTTTGGTCAGCTTGCTGGTTAGAATTTTCTTCCCCTAACACCTTACTGGTATTGGAGAAATTTAGCCAACACGGCGTGCCACCGACTGAGACATTTTTAAAACGACTTAAAAAGATGACATAGACATCTTTTCTATCAGACATAGATATCTTAGAGATACTAATCAGCCGCTCTATCTGTTAAGCAACTAAGCCAACAGACATTAGAGACCAATCAAATCTCTTATTAACTGCCAGTGGACGAGTTATTCTCATCACAACAGCAGTTTTGATGGCACCATTTCTCGACTTTCATCATCAGAGAATCAGAAATTTTTCTGATTTTTTAGGGGGAAATGTGCCCACTTAAGCAAACTGTATTAATCAAATGATAGTAATTTTCACTGCATAATGTACTCACGTTTATCTTGTCCCGTTAACATTTAAAGTGGCGCCAGAGAAGTAAATTAGAAAAACGATTTTGGCTGATATAGCAATCATGATAATTTCCTAAAAACCTTCGCATCCAGCGTCTCCATTAAGATTTTCCTTGTTGTCGATCTATAAAAGCGAGAAGAGTAAGCTCAGAGTGACATAATCATAAGGTATTACCAGTTGAAGAGAAGAAATTGAACTAAAACAAGAATATAATGAAGTGGACAGCTAAAGGATTATTTCTGGTTTTCTTGACAGCATGTACGTTCGAAGGAAATAAATTTCATTTTAAGTTACTTGTCACGAAATTTTCTCCAAAGAAATCAAACAAGCAAAGCTAGCTGAAACACCAAGAACAATAAGTATAGCCTTCACTTAAGCACTGTTCATTGATTTTTTTCTAGGTCTCCTCGAGGTGGAATGTCGCAAAAATGACTACACCAATGACATGACAAACGATCTCTTCAATGATTGGGATGATTTTGGAAGAAATTGTGCGAATGACGACGAGCTTTTCCAACATGGTGGAACTAACAGACCAGGAAAGTTGAACAATGAAAATTTGGAAGAAAATGATGATGACGACCGCACAAAATTAACCGGTGGGAAGAAACGAGTGCAGTATTTTAAAACTCGAAGAAAAGTTATTAGGCCAGGACGTTCTGATATTCAAGTTGTAAAACCAGGAGTTTCAGAAAGTCGGTTGAACAGAAAAAGAAGACCCTTTTTACGGGACATTTGAAATCATAAAAAACTTTTAAAAAGAAGTTATCCTAGTTGTGTAAATTTTGAGAAATACAACTTAATGAAAGATATAAATAAAACTATAACACAGTTCATAATAGCTATATATGAGACACATTGAAAATATCAATATGAAGTCATTTAATATTACTTCACAAACATGACAATAGCATTAATCAGATAAAACTAATGTTAGTGCTCCATATCCGTGTCATGAAGTGTTTGCAAGGCTCATTTCTGACTTCTCCATTGGGATTCCAGGGTTGTTTTGTAAAGTGGACGAAGGGTTTACATAATAGGATTTTTGAGACCGGAATATCAAAGATGACGATTTTGATTTGGTGATTCATTGCAAAAGATCTGATGTCGAGATCCCCCATTATCCAAGTCTGATCTGATACTCCCCGCACATCCTTTTGAGAACAGGCACAGGATAGAATTGCAATACTTGTCCACGAAATATTATAGATAAGCAGCAAAAATAACATATTTCTGACTCTGCCGCAAGCCCTGTTGTACGTACGTCAGCCGATTATTAACGAATTTAACAGCGTTCTTAATAATACGTTAAACGCAACGTCAAAATATTGGTAACAGGAAAATTTCAGTTAGTAAGATTCAACACAGGGTTCTAACATAAAATTTCGAATTTCCTGCAAAATTATTCATCCAAAAACAGTTGCTGCAGTAAAAATTTACTGCTGTATTCTACTAGTTTCAAACGGCAGGAAGGAAAAATTTCAACCATGCACTACATTATTTTTCATATCTTTGAATAAGAATCAAAGAATGGTTATACCCCTGACCATGAAAATATAATTGAGATGTTTTTTAAGTTGCTTGCATTAAGATGTTTGCACAAAAGAGATGAAATGTTAAGGTGTTATAAGTTGTTGTTTAACATCATCCAGTTGTCCATTGTATTAAGATATTTGCACTAAAGAGATCAAATGTTAAGGTGTTATAAGTTGTTGTTTAACATCATCCAGTTGTCCAAGACCTTCTGCAAATACTTTGCCACAAAATGAAACAATACAATACAATGACGGTCAATGTTATCCGCCTCATTGACCTCGGTCTGAATAATTCTTGATATCATCATGCCTAGCCTCATCCTCATAAAATAAAAACAGTGCTAATAATGGCCGGTAAAACTTTAAAACTAGGTTATGGTAAAAATCATCAAATATGCGCATCCTATATCATCGAACGTGGCAAAACGTGACATGTACTAATAAATATTGTACATTTTCCTCTGCAAATGAACATTGGTAATAATGGTGTATGCAAATCATTGATTCCACCTGCCCCCTTTATATAAAAAACTATTAGCACAACTCCAATTAACTTATTATCTTCACTAAATACTGACACATTATCAAATGCTGTTTCGCAAATATACATGTACGACATTTCCTTGGAGAATAATTTTAATGTCTTTTAAAATATATATATATATATACATAACATTACACACGACTGACTTGACTATATGCACTCAAGTTTGTAAATACTCTCTGCTGTCTAGTTTCCAAGACAACCAAGAAAAGAAAACAGATGTCTTTACCAAAACGCCTTTGGATTTTACACATCAGATGATCTTATATGTTCATAGAATATTATATTTCCAATCAAATTGAGCTTGGGAAGGAATTTTAGCATGCTTATGTATGTTGAGCATAGTCATTTTTTTGTTTTGTGGATACTGACGTTGTAAATTATGGCATTAACAACATTGGAACAAATATGAAAATATCAGTCATAAATATTTAACAAGTTCCAAATTGCCAGTGTGTTGATAACAACGAAACGCGGCGAGAACGAAGGAACTTTGGTTTTCTCGCAATTTCCAAAGTTAATTTAACATAAAACTGCTGGAGAGGTCAGAAACGTTCAAAGGAAGAAGTGGACAAGCAAGTGTATTGAGAACATTCATGAATATCAAATTAACAGTCGTTCTTCTCTTTTCGTACATATCGAATGTTACGTCGTCCAACAAAACGGGTAAGCAAAGTTTTATAGAACAGATTATATGATTAAACCAGACTCATATAGTTTCACAGTGCATGTACACTGTGTTAGCCTGTATAAAGAAAGTCTTTTATTGAATATTTGAGGAAATATTAAGTTATTAAACATTAAAAATGGACGACAAAGCAAATCTTCAGTGCAAAATGGATCAATGTAGGAAGTTTACATGATAATATGTTATAGTGTTGTTGTGCTCTCACGAAATTATGAAATATTAAGTTATTTCAAAAACTTGACCGGAGAATCTTAACAAACATAGCCTCTTTAATATTTCTTCTATCGAGAAAAAATTCTGTGTTTTCACCCATATAGTTGAATAAAACGTAAGGAAGTTAATAATTGTTATATTCAACCACTCTATGTATACAATTGTAAAAATGTTAAGGATAATGATCAAGAAAACTTTGCCTTATTATATACAGAGCGTGTAAATTAGTGCAGACCCGTTGCTAAGTTAGGATTCGCATGCTTTATGAACAAATCACCCCTTCTTAAAAATTAAAGATCCATAACTATACTACATTTGCCTCAGTAATAATATTAGCTATCATCATTTGGGCGTTTAAATATATTTTGCCAAATCATTAAATCATCAATCTAAGTGTTTGTTAGCTACACATAAATGTGTATATCATCTCGGCTGTCGCTAAGAGACAAATTCAACCGTTTGCAAAAAACGTATTCAGGACAATGCAGGAAATAATGAAATAGATAGTACCCACTGGCTAATAAACCATCTTTTTGCGCCTATTTTCAATCTACAGGTGAAAGTGGTTGGATAAACGTAAATATAAAGTCGCTTGAAGCTTATTAACTGTATTTAAGACGTTTTACAAAAAGTGGAAAACGTTTAGCGACAGGTGACTACATCGTCAAAAAAATTTTCAATACCATTTCAAAGAAAAAAATCGAAAACGGAATACATCCGCCATCTTTGACTATCATGAAATTCCTTTTCATATACCAAGTTTATTGCTAACAAACCTCTCGCTAACTGCTTGTTTTAACTTCCTCGGTTTGCGAATGAAGTAGGGCCTTTTCTCAACTATGTTCTTCTCTAAACAACTATGTTCTTCTCTAGCATTTCTGACGCGATGCCTCAGATGTGTACCATACAAGCGATAACAGAGCATTAAAAAAAAACGCTAAACAAAAGAATATTTTCGTGACATAACTGACCGTTTTATACGATCTTTATTTAGCACAAAAACCTGCCTCTTGTCCACACCAACTTTTAAAAGCCCAATGGTGGAGTATCCCTCCATATATTTACCGCGACAAACATGGAGGCATTCGTGGAATATTTCCAACAGTGCTGGACGCTATCGTAAAGCAATGCTGCAAAGGTTACAAAAATATAACATACAATGAAAATTCGCTCAACGACTCCCAGGTTTTAAAGAGCAATATTGGCGTCAACGGTACGGTGATAAGCTTCCCTGTTTATGGTGACATGAAAGACACTACATATCAAAACTACCCCTATATACCAGTGGTGGAAGCACCAGGAGTGGTCTTTATAATGACCAATGAGGATCCATCCAACGCTGCTAAGGCTGTCATGGATGCCGTGTTTCAAGGATGGCCAGTGCTCGTGCTAACTTTGTTAATGGCATCACTTTCTGGTATCATAATATGGGCATTGGTAAGCCAAAATACCATCTTATGCATTGGAGATAAATAATTTGAATTAGCAATGGTGGTTATCCTTGACAACATTGATTTAGTTGTTTTGATAGAAGCATAGAATGTTTTTACTTGGCACGCACATACGTCCAATTTAATTCACCATTTTTAGTGCTATGACAACAGTAAGGGTATATTTTTTCTTTTAAAGAAACATTTAAAAAAACACTGCTTCTTTGTAGGATACATATTGGAATCCCGAGGAGTTTCCTCCGACATTCTTTCAAGGAGCTTGGGAGGGATTTTGGTGGGCTTTTGTCTCTATGACCACTGTAGGGTGAGTATTTATAGTTGGTCAAAGCCTTGCAGTAGCATTTCAAAATTGATGCAAGCGATAAGAAAAGACTTAAAAAGTAAATCGTAAATCCTTAGTTGATCGGATTAAAGATTTCATTACTCTCAACAAAGCTTCGTCTGTGAAGAAGATCAAATGGGTTATCGAAAGGCGAACTGTCCCAACTAACAGCCTTATAATCAAACTGCAGATAATCAAAGAAAAAATTGCTCGAGAATCGATGACTAGTGCTAAGGCAACTAAACAACAAAAACAACTAAAGCTCGGTGATATTGTTCTGTGTTTCAGATATGGTGATCGTTCACCCCGTTCGTTTTTTGCTCGAGCTTTCTCCTTCGTGTGGATCATGATTGGTTTGGTAATCATCTCGATTTTTACTGCTACAGTAACAACATCGCTGACAGCTATAAGTCTTAGCAACAATATTAAACTATATGGATCGAACGTAAGTCGGATAGGAAAGGGTGCACAAATGTATCAATCATACTTTTTCAGCTGCCTTATTTCGAAATTTCTCAATTAGGTTGTGGCATTAAAAGAAACAGAAGAGCAGAGATTTGGAATTCGAAACAACGCAAAAGTAACAGGTACTTGCTCTTCAAAAGTACATATACATCGTATACACGTGATAAAGTACTAAACAAAATATTCTATAAAGTACTTGAGAAAAATATACTATCAAGTACTGGACAAAAATATACTACCAAGTACTGGACAAAAATATACTATCAAGTACTGGACAAAAATATACTATCAAGTACTGGACAAAAATATACTATCAAGTACTGGACAAAAATATACTACCAAGTACTGGACAAAAATATACTACCAAGTACTGGACAAAAATATACTATCAAGTACTGGACAAAAATATACTATCAAGTACTGGACAAAAATATACTACCAAACACTGGACAAAAATATACTTTCAAGTACTGGATAAAAATTGTCATAAGCATTCTTTACATACCATTTGTTACAAGCACTCTCCTGTGCAATGGTGCAACCTGACCAGAACATAGCAAAATAAAGAGTCTAAAAAATGAATCAGCATTAGAAAAAATCTAATCTAAGTAAGATACTGATGTTATCTAAGAGTTGAATGTTGTAACCCACCCCCCGGGAAATAGTTCGATCTTACTATGCTAAAAGGAGTTAAAGTACATGAAAATTCCATGTTTCTCACAGCTCAAAATACAGTCGCACAAATGAAAAAGGCAATCATCGAAAAAAAGGACGACACACTTGGTGGACTATTAGACAGTTATGTTGCGGGGTACTGGGCTAAAAACACCGACAACTTGGAGACACCACTGGCCGACCCATTGTTGCGCGTGGGAAAAGTGTTCGATCATCAGTTCGCGTACGGTTTTGTGATAACAGATTATGCAAAAAATGATAAGTTCGAGAAATGCACCCGAAAGACATTGAACAGTATGGAAACAGAAATTACAAAAATCATACAAAATGATGCAAAGACGATGGAAGTATGATATATTTTAGATTTCTATATTTATAGATAATCATACAGTAGAGCAACAACTACACCTGGGGCTGAATGAATGCCTGATAATTTAAACTTCACTTCTATACAAAGTGATCACCATTTTGACTTTCCAAAATATCGCACTAATAGATTTAAAGATTTGTTAATCTTATCTAGTTGCTCAATCTATAAATTCTTAAAGTACGTAAAATCTCAACATTTCATATTTTTCTCCTTTATTCTTAATATAACATTAATTCCATATCTAATTTACATGTACATTATGTAATTCGGCTGTTTGGCTGCTAAATGATTTTAATCAAACAGTTCAACTATCTATCTATCTATTTATTTATCTTTCAAGGAATCTGGAAAAAGCGTTGCAGTTCAAAAAACAAAGAATCTCTTCGATCACAAATCACCAATATTTCAAAGTGCTATATTCTATTCATTGGGCATGGTCGGCAGTCTTACTTTACTCGGTTTGGTTTGGGAATACTTTTACTGGAAACCACGACAACCCAAGAGCAAAAATACGGGTGAGAGCCAAAACTAATGTGCACTTTGTTTCCATAAATGTCGATTGGACTAATAAACAGAATTCAACTGTGTACAATGCAAACAAAATAAACACGCTTAGCTATGTTTTTTTTCAGAAGTGGAGCAAGTTTATGACCAGCACACGTCATACGAAGATCTTGTCACTCAACAGAGCAAAGACATCGAGCACGTGATGCGTAGAGAGGTTCAACGGTTCTACGATTCGTGGAGCAGAAAACTTGAAAATTTAAAGCCATCCAAGCTGAGAGAGGAAGAAGCCATTGAAGAAGTGGAAAATGAAAAGAAACAACGATTGAGCGAGAATGGCTTGAACGAAGAGCAGAATTTCAAAACAAACTACGACGAAATAAACGAGCAAGCCCAAAGATCACTATTTTCACCTTCTGAAATATAATACCTTCCAATTTTTTATATATTTTTCTTAATGTTCCATACACACTTTAACATCTAAAACGTCAATCACGTAATGTACTACTACTAATCCCAACTCTACTACTACAATGCCTTACTCTATTACGAATAAACCCTCATCAGCTTCTACAAATCCCTCATCTACTTCTACTAAATCCTCATCTACTCCTACTATACCCTACTAGAACTACAAATCAGTAAAATTAATCAAAAAGCGACGACACACATCAGACAAAAGCAAACGAAAGGGAGAAGATGGCAAAATATAAAGTTTATGATAACTATACAATAACCTAACAATAACTGTAATACAGCAACATAGTAAAATAGAAATCCTCATTTCGTCTTAAAAACATAATAAAGCGAATAGCAATCAGAAGAGGTGAAAAACAACTGAGCAAGATTTGGAAAGAATACTACAGGAACAGTTTTGGGAATGTTTAAATTGCAATATTTCTTGGATATACAGACACTTTGCACTACAGATAAAATATAGATACGAAGCATAGATATAGTTTAAAGCTACATATATATGTGAGCATGTATAGCTACGAAGCATAGATATGTGAGCATGCATTTTACATCGCATTATTTGTAATTGAATTGAGAATAATTAGATGAAATGAATATGCACATTTTACCTTATACGTATTGTTATGGGTTTTATCAAATTGGCAATATGTCTAGCAGACAACTTATCGTATTTGTTTCTGAAATAACGACGAGAAGTATACTGGTAACGTGATCTAGTCACGTGAACATATCACGTCATAAGACATTAACAAATACCCCTTTAGGTCGTGAACACCAACCACAGGCAACGACATCCACACCTTAATATTCTAAAATACCCACACAAAAAACCTCATTTATCCGTTGACATTTAAAAGCTCAGAGATCAGTTCATTCAAAACTCTTCATGAGAATAGAAACCTAACTTTTGCTTCCTATTACTATTTTACATTCAGACGTTTTAATATTTTCAATGTCAACTGCCTACGTCACATAACAAAACATTGCTCCCAACATTTTACCCTCCAATAAGGAGAGTGGTTAATTATCTCTATAAAAAAAAACCATTCATATCGTACTATTCACATGTATACGTGTAATTTAAATAATACAACAAGTCAACAACAAACAAAGGTTGCTGGTATAAACTGTAACACCAGATAAAAACAACTCTGAAGATAGTAGAACAATGGTAATTCCCTAAGATATTTTCTCAATGTTTCGAGTTGTTCTAAGGCAATGATTATGACTATACATGATGATTTCAACATTTGGATTAACCATTGCTCTATAACACGTAAAAAAATTCCGTAAGAACTCAAAGAAAGTTTTTAGGATTTTCCATATTTTCAATAAACCAGATAGAGAAGAACAAGATCATGAAAATTAAAAGACATACAAGCACAAGAAGGTTTTATGTGAATCTTCATGTTTAAAGAGAGTCACTATCCATCAACTCTCAGCTCATCAGAACTAGTAATCAAAATTATTTGTTTCCATTCATGCAATATGCAAAGTATTCAGTTTCAAACGAAATATCTGATGCAAAAGTCATTAAAATCTTCGTAAATTTGCCAAATAAGAAACGCGCCATTCTGTCTGTGAATCTTTATGAAGCTATACTAGTGGATTAGATGGGGATTAAGCATGATAATCAAGCTATCATCCATGGCACAATGACATAATTTCGAGCTTAGTGGCATAGCATAGATAAGCACTTTCTCTATTCATCAACTATAGCACGGCTCCTGCCAGTCTCTTTCAGGCAATGGCTTAATACGAAAATTACCCATTGATTTATAAGATGAAATGTGCGATAAAAAAGTAAGCGAGCTGCATGCTAACATTGATAGCATTTTTTCCCAACAAGGTTTTCCATTTGACAACTTAATGCGAGTGTTTAAACATAGGAACAATAGACGCAGTCCGCTTGTTTGCCCTTCATACTTCACACACACTCAAATTTTATGTACTTCCCACGTTGCGTACAATTTGTCTTTTGACTAAAAACGACTAACATAATTCACCTGTCCTAATATGATCATCTGTGACGCAGACGCAAATGATGTAACAGATGTAACCGTTTTGAATCATTTAAATCTTTTTCGTCCGTAGCGCATGAAATCTGAGAGGCGCTACTGGACTATCATGCTAGATTGGATATTGTTGTCAACATATGTCAATCTTGAGGGTAAAAAGCTTCAGTACCAGATCATCCCGCGTAAAGAATCGATTGAAGTATGAACGCAGGGAAATAAAGTGTGGACATCAAAATCTTCGAAAACAACCTGACGCGTTACAATTGATTTCATTGTTGTAAAGTAAATTTGATTCATGAAAAACAAGTTTATCAGGCATAACAAGCAGTACATAGCAAATACTCCAGAATTTGATGACTCCACATTTTCTTACACATGCACGTGGGATCAAAACGGAAAAAGCAGGGAGATTGTTGACATGAATAAACCAACGCATAAGTAAAGAATTATGAAATTTATACCTTGACATGTATTGTACTGTGTAAACACTACTTATGAAAGCTAAATAAAGTTTTCAGATTAACAGTCAGATTGAGAAAAACGACCTGCCGCTGCGAATATGTTTGAGCCTCTCGTGTGTGCGTGCGTGGAGAGACGGCTATAAACCATTGATGCTCATCACGAAGTGATCCAGTCACATCAAGGCAATCGACGTATCATGGTGTATCTCGACGCAGAATCATCTCGTCACGATGAGATGCAAACAAGTGAAGGTTGCAGAAAACCATTTCTTAGTTTCTCGATTGAACGCATCCTTTATGGACATTTTCGTACAGAACGAGAAAGAATAAAACGAAAACAGGAGAACTCGTCTACAATAGTCGATCCTGCAAGTAGTGCAATGCCAGTTCCAAAATATAATTGGCTTGGATATACGAGATATAACCCTCCAAAGTTACCAAGTAAGTTTAGAAGACTCCTATGCAAAAGTGGTTATTATCAGTATGTACAAGCAATACAAGAAAGCCTAAACTTTGTACCAAAAACATTCACCATTTTAAGAATATTGCAAAGAAAATCAATTAAGTAATTTCTAGACAAAGGAGGGTCTAACACAGACTTATATGCAAACTTGACAAAATAGGTATTTGTAAACAAAATTTAGTAATGAATATGAAGATATTCTACTATTGAGATATATGCAAGTTAGGCATTGAGCAGGAAACAAAAAATACAAAAAAAACAAGCATCACGGAACTTCGATGCAAACCAGATAAACAGAAAAGAACAATTAAATAGAAAAGATAAGATATGCTTCAACAAGCATAACTATTTAAGAATCCGCAAAACATGTATCTAAGCCAAGACGTCTATAATCGAGTCGGTACCACAAAGTTCTATCCTTATCATATAAAATAATCATGATTATGTTTATCGTCGGGAAATATATATTAGCGGTAAAATGTTAAAGACACTACTTGTTTTGGGCGTTGCTTTAAAAAATTCACCTATCGCAAATGGGTTTATAAAATTTCTAGGCAATAGCTATATTAAAAAGAGGAAGCTGGCGACAACATATTTATGATAGTCACATCTCAGATTTCTTTTCATTTTCCTACACGAATCGGAAGGTGTGTTTTGTGTATAAACACTCAATTAGGGCGAACAATCAACAAGAAAACCGTGCGCCATTTTACTGTCAGAATGGAGGAAGTCGAAAAACAAATTTCAACTTAAAAAGGAAGCTTGTTCATAGAATTTGTTCATGAAGTGCAAAACAGGCAATAGACACGGTTTAATACTGGTACTAATCAAACAAATGTATTGTCATGTATACTTTATGGATTTTACAGCAAAATTACTGTTTGCTCAATACATGTGTTAAATCTGAGCATTGAATTAATCGTCTTAAATATACTGTCTGATTATTTCGGTCAATCTACATACGTCCGTACAGTTATATCTTCACAGTAAAAGTTTCGTTGCGAAACATGAAAAACCAATGGCTATACATGTATCAATGAATATTTACAAGTGAAGAAAAATGGTAAAAAAAATTGTGAACAACCTACAACTTCATAATAAGAATACCCAAAATGAAACTAAGCTGTGTGCTAGCAAAATATTTTTCAAAATGTTGTGTGTTTGACCCTATATAGAGAGGAAGTCAACTATACTCCTTTTCAATATTAATGAAATCATCGTGAATAAATGACTAGAGGAGGATGTCTGCATTGTACACATTCGTACCCAAATATCAACCAAAAAGATATAATGAAATCGAAATGTGTCAGTGAATTCGGAACAAGCCTTGTTGCTATTTTAATACTCATGCATCACCATCGGCAAAATATTGTTAATTAATTGCCGCGTCGTCTTCCTACCGATCAATTTCGGCAACGCCTAGAGAATACGCCAGGACGTAAACTACCAACGAGATAAGCGACGCATGATAAAGGTCGGTATTAAATGTCAATGAAATGTCGAAGACGAGAAAGTCATTAACATACTTTCGTACGCGCCAGCGCATTTTATATACAGACGTTAAAGGACACATCTCTCACTAACTGCATTGAGATGATGATGATGATGATAAGAAAAGCAAACTATCCTTCAACATAGACTAAAGGATATATTCTTCTAGATGGTTTTATTGAAATAGAGTTCGAAATGATATTGTTCCTAGTTAGGATGGGCAAAAACTTTTTACTCTGTGGATTTTTTTGTTTTAAATTCTACTGTTTTAAATTCTACTTTTTGTTAGAAATAAAAGATCTAATGATGACCTACATAAAAATTTGGTCATGAACTTTTCGCCCGCCGATATTAAGATTGAGCTAAATACATTATTTCAACCAAAGAAAAGAAAGTCATTTATCAGAAAGTTTCACTATCACAAAATCAAAACTTATTAATAAACTGCCAAAGTTCGATATGTATATATCTATATATTAAACGAACATACGGTGAAATCAACAATAACATAAATAATGCAGGATCTAAGGCAGATTTCAAGTCTTGTTTGGTGTGATAATTATTTTTCTCCAACAACACAAAAACGACAAACTTTAATTAAGTTGATCTATGTCAGAATATATGTATTTAGGTTAAGAAAAACCGCTAAATACATAATCTAGACGAACAATACATTCGTTTATAGCACTGATTTATAGCATTAAATTGAAAATTTATATATCTGCGTTTAAAACTAGATTAAAATAAATGATTTTTTATAACTAAATCATGTAGAAGAGATTCTATAAGAAAATCTTACATTTAGGGAACAAACATGAAAAAATCTTGACGAGAAAATATTTTTGCATTTATAGATAAAACTTTTTTCCGCTCTCAATTAATGTTCTTTAATTATGACCATAAATAATTTTTCAATAAAAGACGTCGAATTGACAAATTAGAAAACGGTTCAAAACCTATGAATTTGATTTAAAAATGCAACCTGTTGCCACATATAAATAAGATTCATCAAAACAGATGAAAAGTTTAAACTAGAAAAATTAGAACGACAGAATTGCAATCAGCGAGATAAGATTTTCACATGATAAACTAATTGACGGAGTCGGCAGAAATTGTAGTAAGTTTGAATATCATCAACCCAAAAGCTTTCTTATGAAAATAATTTGGAAAATAAATTGATTGATTGAGTGGATTTTAACCAATGCCATATTTTGATTGCTGTAGACGGACCAATCTTCACAAAATGAAACAAACTAATATCTATCTACAAACTGTACCTACATTTCTCGTTAAGTGCCACTAACATTATGCCGTGAAAATCAAATACTGGACTTGCATAAGCCACAGATTCATACATATAACACATGAGGGCATGGAATATCGATTTTGAATAGCGCAGGATGTAACAAACAACTTCAGTTCACGATAAGCGCTCAATTAATTCCGACATTGTGCACTCATTGAGATAAGAGCGTCTTCCTATCATTATATTAGCGCGTTAACAATTGGCCGACAAGTGACGCGCGTGAACGTAAAGAAATTCTTGAAATTTACGATGATGGACGTGGTTTTATAAATCTCAATCATATCATACGATACATGTTAAAATCATTAACGTGGCAACCAAATTCCAAGTCGATTAGTTTATTCTTCAAGCGCACATCAAAAATGTAAACACCCAAAAGACGGGTTCTTAAAGTGGAAAAAACGCATGCATTTGGCCTCGTTTTAGAAACGAGTAATTCACTGTAAAGTTGTAGTCACATGATTTAGACAATGCAAATTTAATGAAGACAAGAAAAAATTAACACTGACGGGTGGAAGTACGAGGCAAAAACATTAGCTACAGTAGCAAAAGCCATATATCAAATACAGACAGTCTTTAAGTTTATTTAAAAGATAATGAGAACGATAGCAAAATGTTTTTCACTTCTATTTCCGTGTGAAAACAAGCGAAGACGCTTAAAGATTCAACATTTGGTAAACGTCCAAATCACTGTCCTCTAAGTGATGTATGATTTTCTTAATAGACTAGTGTTTATGTTACCTTAGTTTGCACGGGCATGCCTCTACAGCTACAAAAGCTGTCAAAATATGTTTCACACTATAAACATTTCAAGTTGAAAATCATGTTGCTTCAACGAACTTATGTAATATAGCTTGCAGAAAACGTTTACTCACGATCTTGTATTTTACAATGCGATTAAGAATTTAAATTTACCATGAACAACATGGATGCAATAAAAAAGACTAATGGATAGCGACGACAAGTCACTTTCTAAACATCTACAAGAGATCCACAATAGCGATGAGATGGGAAAGTCTTTTAAAACCTCAACGTACTATGCACATGTCGAGATTATAACACAATCTTATGATGCAAATGCAAGATAATCAAGAGAGCACTTCCTGAGTAATGGTTTGAAGTCTGAATTTCATCGATGATTGATTGATTTATGGCACTTTACTAAAACGCTTTGGGTGGTTTATACTGTCTTAGTGTTTATAAATAATGAGACAATTTAATGCATTAGTGAATAGCGTTGTACCAACTCTACACGAGATTAAGTTTTCAGAAAAACAAACACTTTAACATTTCTCAATATCATGAAAATCCAGTCGTCTGCAAGCACTTGAGTGTGATCATTCTACTCAAAAAGTATTTTTTGGGCATCAACAAGAGAAAACTTTATATCTTCAGGCGAATAGTCAAACGTTCGATAAAAAGCGATTGTCTATACATCAATCCAACAATTTGATTTTTGAAAAACGCAGTTTCATTTGACTTACTTTGTAGCTATACGCAAATTATCTGCTATGCAAGAATGATTAAACAAATCCTTAGTGTAATAGATGTCTCGACAAAGTTCACACAAACTGAACAAGAACCTTGGAAATTCTATCTTGTTTTCTAAATATAATTATTAAGCTTCATTTTCTAACGTTCAAACTGGAAAACTAACAAACCATTTCTACAGCATGCGCGTGTTTAGTTTCCTGATGCCCTTATTCGACGACCTTTAAGTTGACATGCCCACTAATTTTAGGAAAACAATCCAAGTAATATATCACAATGAAATATTGTCACTAAAATTTGACATGAGTGTGCACAGGTTATCGTCGACATATGCATAAACGCCGAGCCAAAACAGATGATGTAGGTTATAGATATGAGTTCACTCTAATTTTATTTAAAATTCGGGTATTTTTTTACTTGTCTAATACTTCTAAACTGCTAAATTGCTTAAAAATGGGATGTGTGGTATTTAAATTCAACATAAACAGATGCTAAGCTCAATCTAACTTTTGATTAAACAAAATTATTTCACATAAATAGTAGCTATAAGTTGATTGTAAATTAAATCAAGAAAAAAACTTCCATAAACAATTCACTACAACCTCACAAATCATTTCAATGAAAACCATTTAATCCCTTTAACAGTATAGCTACTGAGTAGAGGAACATGCTATGTTAAAGAGGTTTAATTGGAAGCCTTCAAGACAATCAGCCACTTGAAATATTGCATTAAAGCATACAGTAAAACGACAAAATTCCTAGATGAATGAATATTTGGGCAAAAGACATGAGCATGTTGATTGATAGAATATATTTATGGATAACAAATCCCAGTTAAGCTTTTGGTTGAAATTTCCCACGAGAACTGATTTCGAAAGAAACTCTCTCGCATAATCTCGTTCAGATTGAGGAAGTAATTGAGAGCGCACAAAAATTGAAGGATATGATTAACATACGTATCATATCAAAACAAAAAAGTTGGAAGCTACATGCTTGTTTGTAAAGTGTTTGCAAAGCCAACTAACAGAAATAACGATATCGAGCCGTATACACGATATTAATGAACTAGAGACGAACAATTTTGCCGGACTTGACCGTATTGCAAAATATGTTATACAATTGTGTTTCAAGATCTTTATTCTTCAAAATAATGTTTGATGCAGTGTGAATTCTTGAGTTTATAAAACCAGTTTTGTCTTTCGCCGACATTTTGTATCCTTTCTTTAAAAATAGCACGCAAAGCGTACATGTGAGTAGCTAGGAAAATGAATACCCTGCCACAATTTGTGGCGGTTTAAATTATATTTTATGCATGTATATTTGATGTGTTTTAATCCAATCACACAACCTGCTGACAAACGTACACCCCATATACCCCACCCTCATTCTTTTTATTGTCACTTACCCATGTCTCGACGCTGTGTCTTGTCCTGTTTCAGAGTCAAGTAAACGTCGACCGAAACAGAAACGAAAGCCCGGTCGCAATCCCAGAGTTCCATTCACTCCCAAACAGCTGACGACCCTGGAAAACAAGTTTGAAACAATGAAGTACTTGACAAGTGATGAAGTTCGTAGTTTGTGTTTGGAACTGACGTTACCGGAAAACAAAATCAAAATATGGTTTCAAAATCGACGAGCAAGAGAAAAAAAAAAGTTCACAAAGCAGCGATGAATATGTTGACGTAATGACAATTGACGGGAGAACAGTTAGCTATGTATGACGACACATGCACTGAAAATTAGTTATAGTTTTATAGAGGTCTATAGTTAGAAAATCAGTTATGCAATCATAGAGTTTGCATTGTAGTAATCTTGCACAGCGTACGTTCAACAGGACCTTTATTTATTGCTGTCAATATTCAATAATGAGCATAGGAATTTCATCGATGACGTCATTCGAGCATTTCCGCTTACAAAGAGAAAACACTTTGAATGCAAAGTTTCATCATGGAACACATCGTAAAAATCTCAGGTTGTAACATAGGATAGAAAATAAAACATACTTTTACATTTCATCATCATCTCAAAGTCCATTTTTGTAATAAATATAAAAAATATAAAATGCATTTAAAGTTGAGTGACTTAAAATAAGGTTTACACTGCAGGTCGATTTAAAGACTGCAACAACAAAATCAAGGTTCATGATCGGTTCAAAGAAGAGTGAAGTAAAATATGCCATAGAAATGATGAATCTCAATAATTAGAGTTCATCACTATAATATAATTGATCCAATCGGAAAACAAGTTTATATAAGGTAAGTACTAACTTAAAAATGAACACACAAAAGAGAGATCAAAAAAACGAACGAGACATAAAAACATAGCTACCACTTCGTAATAATGCAATACCTGGATTAAAATATTTTATGTGGTTTTACTCTATGCCATTCACTGACATTTACGTACATAAATTTTATCGAAAAGCAAAGTTCTCTAGACACGGATGGTTGTATTGAAAAACACTAAATTTATGGTAGAAAAACATAAGAAACACACGATACAGAGAGTTAAGAGGTTCAACTACCTTCCCACCCTCTCTCGCAAGAGAAGTACCGGTACCACCACCACCAACTTTCTTGCAAGAGAAGTACATGCATCACAACCACCTCTCACGTAAGAGAAGTTCTGGTACCACCACCACCACCTTTCTTGCGAGAGAAGTGCATGCATCACAACCACCTCTCCACAAGAGAAGTACTGGTACCACCACCACCACCTTTCTTGCGAGATAAGTTCATGCATCACAACCACCTCTCCCGCAAGAGAAGTACCAGTACCACCACCACCACCTTTCTTGCGAGAGAAGTACATGCATCACAACCACCGCTCCTGCAAGAGAAGTACCGGTACCAGCACCACCACCTTTCTTGCGAGAGAAGTACATGCATCACAACCACCTCTCCCGCAAGAGAAGTACAAGGTACCACCACCACCACCTTTCTTGCGAGAAGTACATGCATCACAACCACCTCTCCCACAAGAGAGTACTGGTACCAGCACCACCACCTTCTTGCGGAGAAGTACATGCATCACAACCACCTCTCCGCAAGAGAAGTACCGGTACCACCACCACCTTTGCAGAGAGTACATGCACCACCAACATCCCTTTCCTAAATACCAGCAGCACCACCACTCTCCTCACGTAAGAGAAGTATTGGTACCACCAATACAACCCCCTTTTCAGCAAGAGAAATACAAGCACCACCACTAATCTCTCTACCGCAGGAGAAGTACAAGCACCACCATCAACCTCTCTAAAGCAGGAGAAGTACAAGCACCACCACGAACCTCTCTCCCGCAAGAGAAGTACAAACACCACCATCAGCCCTTCTCCTGCAAGAGAAGTACAAGCACCACCACCAACTCTTTCCCGCAAGAGAAGTACAAGCACCACCACCAACCCTTCTCCCTCAAGAGAAGTACAAGCACCACCACCAACCCTTTTCCCGCAAGAGAAGTACTGTCACCCCACCCTCTCCTGCCAAGAAGTACCAGCAACAGTAGCAATGACGTGAAGAGTTAAGCTCCAGTTATCTAATTCTGTAATGACTTAATACAAATTTATGAGAATCCTCCATACCCCTGTATCATTAGAAACTGTGCTTTAAACTTTAAGAACGAAACTTTGAGCTTTTAAACGTCTTCACAAGGTTTCAACAATAAAAGAAATAAAAATGTCTTATCTTTTTACAAGTCACATATTTACACAATTCTCATCAATCCTAATGTATAGTTCTATAGAAAAAAATATTTTGGTAAAAAATATATTATCAATGTACAACAAAACGATATATTATCAATATCCAATAACAAAAACAATTTTACAAAACGACACAATCATAAATTCGACATCATAAACAGTTTTAGAAAAGTTGTCAAAGAACACCTGTCATTTCTGCATATCACTTAATAACAAAAAAATTTGCGCGAAATAATAAACGCACTTTGTAATGATAATTAAAATTCTTTCATTTCTGACATAGCTTTTAGTGTAGCTAATATTAAAATCGGAACTGCTGAATAATTAAATTTTACTGATGCATTTACTCCAGTTTTCACCTGTTTTTACTTAAAACAAACTAGCTAACAACTTTATCATTATGAGCTATATATTCTAAATCCACTAAACTTTGGTTTCATTTAAAATATAAAATATGAAATAAAAATTTCTGTGCAGTAGTTATAAGGTTTATGGGTCTTCGAATACAATAATTCGCTATTGCGCAAAAGGAATATTTCTCATTATCCTTAAAATGAAAGTTTTGGAGTAAAACATTACACCGGAGTATAGGGCGATTTAGAACGAAAACGGGATTTTCTATTTTCAAAGTTTTACTTTTATTTACAAGAGTCCTACCCGTAGAATAAACTATAATATCAAAGGATAGTACAAAGTTTTAAACAACTTCGGCCTATTTGACTTAATTTAAACCAGCCTTAAACATGTTTGGACATTTTTAGTTTGTTGATAACTTTCAGTCTTTCACAGCATAACTCTTTCATTTATAAGACCTTAAACTTTTTAAATTGATAACATTTAATAAACCAAGTCATTCGCGCAGTCCAAATTGAGCCCCACATTCAATCTTTTTATGTTGTGAAATTTTAATTCATTTTGAATGGAAAACTGACTTAAATTGCTTAACAATCAGCTTATCAATTGCCCACTCGGGATAAAGACTAGTGATCACAATGATAACACAAAGTTGCATTGAAAGATAGAACTTTGCTATTTTAACGCTGTTTTTTTTATTAGGTGCCATAAGCCCATAACGAATAGCAATGTAACATAAGAAACATCAAAACTAGACGACTGACCACATTATGAAATAGAACTGCCAGGCTGAGACATCATTAGTCATTTATCAAGAACTTAATGATACATCAAAACGCAAGGATGGATTTAGGACAGGGTTGAAGAGAAATATGCACCACCACCCCAGTCTTAGATATACAAGATGGAAGTCAATTTCCTGCAAAATACTAATATATCAAACAATTAATGGACACACTTAACAATCGGGCCTCCCCATACACTGACACACAGACACACACAAACCATCATCTCTGATCATTTAGGGGAAGACGGCAAGACATTTCCTTTAATCACAATAAGAAATATGTTTGTATAACAGGAGGATGCCACTGCACTAAGAAGATTAGTACAATCAACACGTGCACAAATTCATCTACTTTAGTGGGAAAAGATCAAGAACTATTTTCACTTAACCAAAAGCAATCGTTGATTTTAATCTGAGCCAAAACATTGACAGACAAGAAAGAAAAGAGCTTCAATCTGAAACTTTGATCCCATCGTTAGCTAATGATATTCAAAGTGACAAATAGGAAATTTTTGAAAGACGTAGCTGTTCAAAACAATAGCGACGGACTGACAGGTGCTTCACACAAAATGCACATCAGAACACACACCCACGGTTATAGATTTATACATAATAAAGTCTCCCTTTAGAGAGCTTTTTGCTCTGTATATCATGTTATACACCATTATCATTTGAGCAAAACCAAAATACAATTTTTAGAAAATACAAGCAGCATCAGAGCAACGTCCACAAAGCCAGTGGTTTGCCCATGTTTAAGTGGTTTGCCCGTGTTTAAGTTGTTTTCATGTTTTGCCTTTTCACTATTCGTCTATGTCAATGGGGTTCAAGAAACTAACTCAAACAATCAAGAAACTTTGTAAGGAATTGAACTCAGTGTATAAATAATAGCTATTATATCACTCTAACGACACGTTTTTGCTTATCACAAATTCTAGCCCAGATTACAATACGCTTAAGTACGAGTGCATATATAGAAAAACAAAGGTGTTTTTGGCATGCCTTTTAATAAACTAAATGCTCCATGATCAAATAAATACACCTCTCACAGACTGCCAAAAATGAACGTACTTGACGTCAAATTCATGCTAACTAAACAAGAAGTATATAGATGTTTTCAAGTTGAGTGCATGATTAATTTTTAAATATATACTATAGTATGATTTTAGAATTTTGATATACATTTGTATATATAGTATAAGAGAGCCAGTAGTTTATCAGTCTATTTGACTGTTGTCTGTTACCCTCTTGAAATAAAGTTTTTGTACATACTTAAACATATACACAAGGTTAAATTATAATATCCGTTGAACTCAAAACACCTGGAGCGATATTTTTACCGCCATATTTGAATTTTAAATTCAAGAATAAAATATCTTTTTCTCTTGTGCAAATGTGACTGGATTTCTTGCGGGGAATTTCGTTTTTAACGGAACAAAAATTTTCGAAAAGATTTTGACATTAACAAGCGACATAAATAATGTTTTTGAACACGAGGCTCGAGAGTTAAGACTTAAGAGCATCGGCAAAATTCATCACATAATTACAAAACAAAATACGCTAACAAATTCGTACTTACTCCTTAAAAAAAACCCAGCTAATCTTTATAATCTTCTTGTGAATGATGTCATGAAAAAGATCATTTCACACCCTACTCTCCACAAATTGGTCTTAAAATTCATAAATAACACAAACAATCTCATCTCAACCATTCTCAATTCTCAACTATGAACTTTGATAATACACTGGACACCAGTTCGTGGGCACAGATGCAATCAAAGTATCTAAGCACCTGCGTAAAGGCAAGTTAATAACAACTTACCACACGATAGTCTGATTAGACATCATACGATCAGACTTTGTGCCTGCAAAGCCAGTGAAAGGTACTTCTCATAAAACCTCCAAATTTAAAATACGCTTTGTGTGATAAATTAAATATTACATGATATGTCTTCTTGCTATAATCGACATTTGACTGTCTCCATGACAAATATGCACAATGTTTGAATTGTCTCCCCTGCAAAATCTCTAATCATCTTATTTGAGTGAAAGTAGTAATGGAAAATGGGAAAAAAGACTTATCTAATATACACACGAAGAGCAAAGTCATTAAACTTATTTTTGAAGAGTCATTCAGAAGAGTCATTCATGAAGACTTATTCAGTAAATTCTGCCATTGATCAAAATGACGGCATAAGATGCAAAAGAATTGCTAAAAGGACTAGGGTGAAGAATTGTGAAAACCCTCAATATTTAGCTCGGGATGCATGGATTAGAGGGTAGTTAGCGATCATGTGAGCTGGTCTGTTAAGGACTCAAACTTTAAATTAGGAACAAGTTATCGTATATGACGGTGGTGTGTATGCAAAATCATTGGAAACCATTCAAGAATAGCCTTTGAATCAGAGGTACGAGAGTCAGAAACACTGATTGTAATTACTTAACATTACTCACTATGTCTAACGATGGTAGATTAATTAAAATCATTTTGAAGAATTGAATATTAAAGAAATAGCAATATTCGTCTTGTGTACAAAGGTGTGGCTGTTTGTATTAGTTTCAGTGTTGATGACATTTTTATACAACTATATCTTATACATTGATTACTGATATTTTTCAACGTCTTTCTTATTAATCTCTCGTGTTTTGCATCATTTACATGATAATTTGGCTTATCAGTAAAAGAACTTTCGTGGCATAATACATTTCATAAGTCAAAAGACAGTTGTGAAACTCTGTTGGGGTGAAAACATACACTTTAAAAGATTATTGTTACTTTGCATAATTATTCAAAATGTGTTTTAATATGTCAAAAGAAAAGTGTTTTTGCCATTGTGCGCCAAGACTCTTGAAAGAAGAACATCGGGTAAGAGAGTGATTACACAAAACATAAACTAATTTTAGTTAAAAAGATTTGTAAACAGAGACAAAAGTTTTACCATTATGTATGTGCATGCAATTCTCTATACATTGCTTATAATTTTCACAAATCCTTAATTCCACTCAAGTTACGGCAAACGTTGTCAATACATTCGCACAAACGGAAATTTCCTCTTGCAATTAATGCCGAATAAAATGTATTCTCAGCTGATTTATTCACACCTGTGTTTATAAATATTTTATTCTATTATATAACATGTTATGTCAAAGAAAATCGTTGTTGAGAAAAAAATCTCATTTTGTACACTACAAAATGATGTCCTAGTCAATGTTACTATTAGCTACGAACAAAAAAGCAAGCGATGTTTCGATTTTTTCTCAACTCACCTCGATGTGAGTGGCGGTTTGATATCATGCTACATAATGCATATCCAATTATATTTTCAAGATACTACGTAAATTGTTTTCCAAAAATTGTTTGTTGATCATGTTGAAGAATGATCAGGTGCGTACAGGTTTGTTGATCGTTGCAAAATGTATCGGCAAGGACTTGTATTTGGTGTCAAATAATTAGAAACGTGAATGTGATGAATGTTTTTTAGTTGTATGGGATATCGAATTTTTGTTCCAACGTTTTATGGTCTAAATTGACATTAGCATTTTACCTCTTAACTGATGAACTTTCCTCATGCATCACAAGATTCTGATTTGGATGAAATTTTTGCATCAGTAATTTCAATGCTTTGCTTGCTGGTAAATGCATTTGATTTTACCGGGGTCATAATGTAGTTAAAATGTTATATAGGTTTCAGCAAGGTTTGGGTCAGTTAACACTAAAAAATTAATGTTTCAAACGTTTTATAAAGGAATACTGCCTATAGTGACATTCTTTAACTTTCTGCGGAAAAGTTGTGAGGTTGTTCATTTTATCAATCCTTTGTCGCACATGATTTACGTCCCGCAGGGTGAATCATGATTCCAAGAAGCTATTACGTCTACTTTTAATGTGCCCTCTCAGCATAATTAACATAATCAACATTAGTCTTGCGTACTTTAAGTAAATGGTTTTTGTCTGCATTGATCGAGTTAATCATATTTTGTCTAATGCACAAATTTTTTAAAGTGAAAGCTTCGTTAAGTGTATGCTTGTTGATGTACAAACTGCGTCATGCATAAACATCCTTGGTAAATGAATCATGTGCATTGAATTCTATTTCATCTTCCAAATCAATTATTTTGATTTAGAAACGTTCAAGGTCTTGCATGAATTACATTTGACGCTTCTAGTGTTGATTTCAAATCGTTTACGTCTAAAAGTTTTCACTATTCGATTAAACAATGAACAAGGTATGATGTCCTCATTGAATATTTGACAACTACTCTCTAAAGACAAGGATGGGGCAGTCTGCGGTTATTAAAATTTGTGATTACCATATGCATTTAATCACGAATTTCAACACTCTTTATTGTACATCACGTATATTTAACCACTCGTTTTGTGTTACACAACTTAAGTTACCTGAGATATTTCCATTATCAAAACAGTGTATGACAATCTTATTTAGTAATGTGTTTTGTTTCTTGTTTATTCGTGCTTTCCTTCAAATAATAACACGACACTTGTCGAATATTGAATTAAACACACGCTCCGAATATTTCAAAATCTATACACAAAGATTTAGGGAATAGAATGAAAAAAAAATCCACGAGTGAATGCAAAATTACCTGGGAACTTCTAAAATAACGAGGTTTCTGTATTTAAAAAGTGCTCCTACATGGATGGTTGATTGTATTATAAACAGACAAATGACAAAACGTCTGCCGTTATTCGCAAAAACGATCATCATATTAAATACGCTAATTAAATCTGTAAACAATATGTATGTGCACGACGATGAAATAACAACTTCAACACACACAACGCTTACTTGATTTTAGGGGGAACATACTCTGTCAATATCAAATTCAAAGTGAAAGAAAAGCAGCGCACCATATTATCTAGGGTCTCACTATGATAATCAAAAGGCATTTCCAAAACGTCTATCCTTCCTTTGTCTATGGATTCCTTATTCTTACAAGTTTGATGAAAGTACATCCAATGGCCAATGCTGGTGATTTGGGGAAAATGTGCAACTCGACTCAAACAAACCAGACAAATTGCACAAGGAATGAGACTGGTTCTCGTAATCGAAGTGATGTAAGTTTATAAATAAAAACTCTATTGTATGTAATTGCAAAAATCATTTTATTTGGTCTCATGAATTAATTTAAAGTCAATGAAATGTTTTGTTGACTGGAAAGAAATGCATTCAAAGAAATGAGGTAGGTGCAAAAAAATCTCATATTAAAAAAAGTCAAAAAGCCACAATAGTCTAACTGAAGCCATTGGGTAAAAGTCATCTTATTGAACAACCTTATAATTTTTGTATTTATTATTTCCTTTATGCGATTTTTATGGCATTATCAGAAGTTGGTTTACGCCAAGCCTGAAACTGAATACGTTTAAAAGGAAAGATTTTTCTATCAAAAACACGCGGAACTTTAGCGCTTTTATTTTAGATACAAACTTCTTCACAGTATAATGTGCAGTGATTTTAGAATTATTTGCAACATTTCCAATATTTATAAGACCACCATCAACTACAATAATTGTACCTCTCCATAATTTCTGTAAGTTATTTATTATCATATGCTCCATCTCGAAATCAAATAATCTAAAGTGTTCACAATATTTTAATACATGTCACGCAAAAAGAGACTTAGAATAAAAATCATATGATAAATAATCATATCAAATCCTCGTGTCAAGCGCAGCAGAAATGATTTCCGTTTCACAATTTGTGAATTCTTTGTTGCTGTCCAACTTCTGTAAAAATCTCCACATTCCCCCTTTTGCTAGCACTTAATATGCAGCAAAGACTACAGAAAATGGCAGTTCTGCGAGTTCGTATTTGAAATTTTTATAACTCATCCCCGAAGCCTTGAGGTGTATCCGCTTCTGAAATGCTTCCGTATTCTGTAATTCGTAACACTTGCTGAGTGCAAAACTTGCACACTTGCAGTGGAAAACTACGTCTAAAAGAAATGAAATAGACTGACAAGAGATAAAGCATTGAATTAATGCATTTCTAAAATTCTTGCAATTTTCTTCTGCACCATTGAGAAATATGACAGTTTACAATGCATTTAAAATTTTCATATGTTTCATTGAAGAACAAACCCAAGAACAATATCTCGTTTGGTTATGAAACATTAATAACAATAATGGTGGTCTCCACAGTTGGTGTCCTTACAAATGGTCTTCTTATTGTTGTTATTGTGAAGGATCCTTTAAACAAACTAAGACGAGGACCGTGGATTACCATCTTAAGCTTATCTATAGCTGACATCACTGCATCTTTGTCCCAATTCATGATTGTTGGATTGGGTAGATTGTTCGAGGTGAAACCGTCAGAAGCTGTCATTTATTCTGTCCTTTTCTTTTGGATGTTTGGGGCTGCGGGCTCATTTTTTCACTTGACATCACTCACATGGCAAACTTACATGATTGCAAAGTATCCCATACGTAGCCGACAGATGTTGTCTACCAGAAAAATATACAAATTATGTGCGACTGTTTGGTCGATTGCCATTTGCATGGCATTTGGTGAACTCATATCAATTTTTGACGAGAAAATCGACCACGTTATGTACACTTATATCACGCTATATGCTGTTTTGGAGATTGCTGTTTTACTTCAGATCATATTGAAGTGTTTCATACTTAAGGTAGTATTGCTAAGTCGACAAGACACTAAAGTAAATGCTGAACAGCACAACACTAAACATTTTGAAATTGTGAAGACAATCATTGTGCTGAACGTCTTATTACTGGTAACTGCATTTCCTTTTTTGTCGCCAAACAAGTGGAGTTTATTCAAAGGCTAGGGAAACTACAAGGTGAATTGGCTTGGCGTTTTTCTTACTACTACGAACCAGTTGCCATGGTGAATTTTGCTGTCAATCCAATTGTGTATGCACTGAGGCTTCCAGATTATCGAAACAGTATGAAGGCGTTGTTTAGAAAGAAGAATACTGTTTTTACTCCAACATCCCGGTCAACGACCTTTTCCTTCCGGACCACCAATGAAACATTTGCGATGTAACTACATTCATCGTTCATAACTTTATGATTAATATATAAATTTTTTATTTGGGTATAGTATAGGTAATATTAGCATAGTTTTAAAGCGAAGATGAAAGAAAAAGAAACTATCATGATTTGTAGTGAGATTTAAACTGACTAAAATTTACAGCCAACTTTTTGATTTTTCTTTTCATGAGAAAGATCAGGAGTGTAATACTTTTTTAACGGTACATATCATTAATCAAATAAACCTTGAACTTAGAGACGTTATAGATTTGCTTAAAGCTTCGATAAAAACTTTGAAAGAAAAAATGAGTCTTGCTTGTTTGTTAAGTTTTCTATAGCTTGTTGAAAAAGTGACAACAAACTTCTTTCATATATCGGCTGCTACTTGGAGGTTATATTGGAAAACAAATACTCCGGTATAAACAGAGCTTCCTTCCATCGATCAAAGAGTAAGTTGATCTGTTCAAAATAAAGAAAATGTGTACGCTGCTAACGTACAGTCTCAAGTGCACGGACAGCTTAAATACAGAATCCTTTCATCACAGGCATATGAGCCAAAAGAAACAATAACGATGAACCATCAAAATGAAATTTGCATAGTTTTTATTCTACTTGCGTTATGATGAAAAGTTTGCTTACACAAAAAATTCTTGTGATGACCCAAAGCACAAACTTACATTGTGTGCTGAAACAGGAAATTTTGCTATAGCATTTATTAGTACGTTATTCTTAACATTGAACGAATTTATGTTTTGAAATATGACAAATCAAGATACCTACAACAAAGACTTTGCTAAGAATTCTCAATAACATGAGACCACCCTGGGCCCTGGTAAAGCCATAACTTTTTAATAACAACAAGACGTTCTGTACACGAATAAAATTTATTTTGGTGAGTGAATCAGTTCACTGCAATATTGAAGAAAATAGACGACTGACCACATTATGAAATAGAACAGCCAGGGTGAGACATCATTAGTCATTTATCAAGAATTTAATGATACGTCAAAACGCAAGGATGGATTTAGGACAAGGTTGAAGAGAAATATGCACCACCACCCCCAGTCTTAGATATACAAGATGTAAGTCAATTTCCCTGCAAAATACTAATATATCAAACAATTAATGGACACACTTAACAATCGGGCCTCCCCCCCCCCTCCCACATACACTGACACACAGTCACACACAAACCATCATCTCTGATCATTTCGGTGAAGACGGCAAGACATTTCCTTTAATCACAATAAGAAATATGTTTGTATAACAGGAGGATGCCACTGCACTATGAAGATTAGTACAATCAACACGTGCACAAATCCAACCACTTCAGCGGGAAAAGATCGAGAACTATTTTCACTTAACCAGAAGAAATCATTGATTTTAATCTGAGCCAAAAACATTGACAGACAAGAAAGAAAAGAGAGCTTCAATCTGAAACTTTTATCCCATCGTTAGCTAATGACATTCAAAGTGACAAATAGGAAATTTTTGAAAGACTTAGCTGTTCAAAACAATAACGACGGACTCACAGGTACTTCAGGTAAAATGCACATCAGAACACACACCCACGGTTATAGATTTATACATAATAAAGTCTTCTTTTAGAGAGCTTTTTGCTCTGTATATCATGTTATACACCATTATTATTTGAGCAAAACCAAAATATATTTTCAGAAAATACAAGCAGCATCAGAGCAACGTCCTCAAAACCAGTGGTTTGCCCATGTTTAAGTGGTTTGCCCGTGTTTAAGTGGTTTTCATGTTTTGCATTTTCGCTATTCGTCTATGTCAATGGGGCTCAAGAAAATTACTCAAACAATCAAGAAACTTTGTAAGGAACTGAACTCAGTGTATCAATAATAGCTATTATATCACTCTAACGACACGTTTTTGCTTATCACAAATTCTAGCCCAGATTACAATACGCTTAAGTACGAGTGCATATATAGAAAAAAAAAGGTGTTTTTGGCACGCGTTTTAATAAACAAAATGCTCCATGATCAAATAAATACACGTCACACAGACTGCCAAAAATTAACGTACTTGACGTCAAATTCATGCTAACTAAACAAGAAGTATATAAATGTTTTCAAGTTGAGTGCATGATCATTTTTTAAATATATACTATAGTATAATTTTAGAATTTTGATATACATTTGTATGTATAGTATAAGAGAGCCAGTAGTTTATCAGACTATTTGACTGTTGTCTGTTACCCTCTTGAAATAAAGTTTTTATACATACTTAAACATATTTGAAAATTGGTAACCCAGGCATATTATGATAATGATAAGGATTCTCTGGATTTGTTTTAAATTTTTTTATTAAGCTTTCAACTCGGTGCTTCGAACCTTCGTCAGAATGTGACAATATATTATTTACAAAGATTTTTGTAGGCGTTTGGAGCGTCTGATTGGTTGGTTGGTAGTTGAGTTGTTATTATTGGATGGTATAAGATGCGTTGTCATGGTTTCGGGTGTATCGATTACGTCAATGAAATTCGCTTAATAAAAAAATTAAAAAAAAAATTTAATTTTAATCTAATTTTTAATTTTAATCTAATTTTTTTATTAGCTTAATAATAAAATTTAAAACAAATCCAGAGAATCCTTATCATTATCATACTTAAACATATATACACAAGGTTAAGTTATAATATCCGTTGAACTCAAAACATCTGAAGCAATATTTTTACCGCCATATTTGAATTTTAATTTCAAGAATAAAATATCTTTTTCTCTTGTGAAAATTGTGACCGGATTTCTTGCGGGGAATTTCGTTTTTAACGGAACAAAAAATTTTCGAAAAGATTTTTGACATTATGAAGCGACATAAATAATGTTTTATGAACACGAGGCTCGAGAGTTAAGACTTAAGAGCATCGGCAAAATTCATCACATAATTACAAAAACAAAATACGCTAACAAATTCGTACTTACTCCTTAAAAAAAACCCCAGCTAATCTTTATAATCTTCTTGTGAATGCTGTCATGGAAAAGATCATTTCACACCGTACTCTCCACAAATTGGTCTTAAAATTCATAAATAACACAAACAATCTCATCTCAACCATTCTCAATTCTCCACTATGAACTTTGATAATACACTGGACACCAGTTCGTGGGCACAGACGCAATCAAAGTATCTAAGCACCTGCGTAAAGGCAAGTTAATAACAACTTACCAAACAATAATCTGATCTGACATCATACGATCAGACTTTGTGCCTGCAAAGCCAGTGAAAGGTACTTCTCATAAAACCTCCAAATCAAAATACGCTTTGTGTGATAAATTAAATATTACATTATATGTCATCTTGCTATAATCGACATTTGACTGTCTCCATGACAAATATGCACAATGTTTGAATTGTCTCCCCTGCAAAATCTCTAATCATCTTATTTGAATGAAAGTAGTAATGGAAACTGGGGAAAAAAGACTTATCTAATATACACACGAAGAGCAAAATCATTAAACTTATTTTTGAAGAGTCATTCAGAAGAGTCATTCATGAAGAATTATTCAATAAAAGCTGCCATTGATCAAAATGACGGCATATGATGCAAACGAATTGCTAAAAGACTAGGGTGAAGAATTGTGAAAAACCTCAATATTTAGCTCGGGATGCATGAATTAGAGGGTAGTTAGCGATCGTGTGAGTTGGTCTGTTAAGGACTCAAACTTCAAATTAGGAATAAGTTATCGTATATGACGGTGGTGTGTATGCAAAATCGTTGGAAACCATTCAAGAATAGCCTTAGAATCAGAGGTACGAGAGTCAGAAACACTGATTTTAATTACTTAACATTACTCACTATGTCTAACGATGGTAGATTAATTAAAATCATTTTGAAGAATTGAATATTAAAGAAATAGCAATATTCGTCTTGTGTACAAAGGTGTGGCTGTTTGTATTAGTTTCAGTGTTGATGACATTTTTATACACTATATCTTATACATTGATTACTGATATTTTTCAACGTCTTTCTTATTAATCTCTCGTGTTTTGCATCATTTACATGATAATTTGGCTTATCAGAAAAAAACTTTCGTGGCATAATGCATAATTATTCAAAATGTGTTTTTAATATGTCAAAAGAAAAGTGTTTTTGTCATTGTACGCCAAGACTCTTGAAAGAAGAACATCAGGTAAGAGAGTGATTTCACAAAACATAAACTAATTTTAGTTAAAAAGATTTGTAAACAGAGACAAAAGTTTTACCATTATGTATGTGCATGCAATTCTCTATACATTGCTTATAATTCTCACAAATCCTTAATTCTACTCAAGTTACGGCAAACGTTGTCAATACATTCGCACAGACGGAAATTTCCTCTTGCAATTAATGCCGAATAAAATGTATTCTCAGTTGATTTATTCACACCTGTGTTTATAAATATTTTATTCTATTATATAACATGTTATGTCAAAGAAAATCGTTGTTGAGAAAAAAATCTCATTTTGTACACTACAAAATGATGTCCTAGTCAATGTTACTATTAGCTACGAACAAAAAGCAAGCGATGTTTCGATTTTTTCTCAACTCACCTGTGAGTGGCGGTTTGATACTATGCTACACAATGCATATCCAATTATATTTTCAAGATACTAGCTAAGCTGTTTTCCAAAATTGTTTGTTGATCATGTTGAAGAATGATCAGGTGCGTACTTGGTTTGTTGATCGTTGCAAAATGTATCGGCAAGGACTTGTATTTGGTGTCAAATAATTAGAAACGTGAATGTGATGAATGTTTTTTAGTTGTATGGGATATCGAATTTTTGTTCCAACGTTTTATGGTCTAAATTGACATTAGCATTTTACCTCTTAACTGATGAAACTTTTCCTCATGCATCACAAGATTCTGATTTGGATGAAATTTTTGCATCAGTAATTTGAATGCTTTGCTTGCTGGTAAATGCATTTGATTTTACTGGGGTCATAATGTAGTTAAAAATGTTATATAGGTTTCAGCAAGGTTTGCGTCAGTTAACACTAAAAAATTGATGTTTCAAACGTTTTATTAAGGAATACTGCCTATAGTGACATTCGTCAACTTTCTGCGGAAAAGTTGTGAGGTTGTTCATTTTATCAATCATTTGTCGCACATGATTTACGTCCCGCAGAGTGAATCATGATTCCAAGAAGCTATTACTTCTACTTTTAATGTGCCCTCTCAGCATAATTAACATAATCAACATTAGTCTTGCGTACTTTAAGTAAGTGGATTTTTGTCTGCATTGATCGAGTTAATCTTATTTTGTCTAATGCACAAATTTTTTAAAGTGAAAGCTTTGTTAAGTGTATGCTTGTTAATGTACAAACTGCGTCATGCATAAACATCATTGGTAAATGAATCATGTGCATTGAATTCTATTTCATCTTCCAAATCAATTATTTTGATTTAGAAACGTTCAAGGTCTTGCATGAATTACATTTGACGCTTCTAGTGTTGATTTCAAATCGCCTGCTCAAATAAACATATCCGACACGTGAAAAAGTAGCTGCACAGGCAAACTGATAAGATAGAATAATTTTTTGTGGCATGTGAAAGTGGTGCTCATTTTGATGATGAAGTCATTTTGTAATGCACAGTAACATTCTCTGAATATTTGGCTCTGGTTTTGTTTTGTCCTAAAGAGACTTCGACGTTGTTTTCATTATTTTTTTGCCATTGTCAGATTTCTTTAAAATCTGTCTTTCATTTTCTTTAAAGTTAATGTGTGAATGTGTCTTGGTCACTGCGTAGGGTGATTGATCTCATGCGCAGTAAAACATCTTATTACAGCTGTGCAAATTATTCTCGAATGAAACTCCCAGTTAAAGGGACCTTATCTACATTTAACGTGTCTTCGTCATGATGCAAAATTCGACACACTGAACCATCTCCATCTTCAACAACAGCATTAGAAAGGCATTAGTTAATCACACCTTAATAATGGAATTTACGGCTGTCTGCGGAATATTGATTTGTCAACACATTTCAGCTTCTGTGTCCGCTCTACGTCAATTGTTACTGGATTTGAGCGACCCAATCCAATCTTTATCTACTTTTATCAAAAATTTAAATTACAAATAGTTCTATATGGTTCTATTAATATTTACTTAATAAAAATTTTACAAGCAGATTAGAATTTTCATCATGTATAATATAAACTTTATATGCATGTCAATGAAATACAAAGAACACCATACATAAGGCAAAAGTTTTCACTATTCGATTAAACAATGAACAAGGTATGATGTTCTCATTGAATATTTGACAACTACTCGCTAAAGACAAGAGTGGGGCAGTCTTTGCGGTTATTAAAATTTGTGATTACCATATGCATTTAATCACGAATTTCAACACTCTTTATTATGCATCACGTATATTTAACTACTCGTTTTGTGTTACACAACTTAAGTTACCTGAGATATTTCCATTATGAAAACAGTGTATGATAATCTTATTTACTAATGTGTTTTTTGTTTCTTGTTTATTCATGCTTTCGTCCAAATACTAACACGACACTTGTCGAATATTGAATTAAAACAAGTTCCGAATATTTCAAAATCTATACACAAAGATTTAGGGAATAGAGAAAGAAAATCCACGAGTGAAAGCAAAATTATGGGAACTTCTAAAATAACGAGGTTTCTGTATTTAAAAGTGCTCCTACAAAGATATTTGATTGTACTATAAACAGACAAATGACAAAACGTTTGCAGTTTTTCGCAAAAACGATAATCATATTAACGATCCTCTATAAACATGACGCAAATATGATACAAGATTTCCGGAAACCCACGCCAAATAAATCTGGAAACAATTTGTACGTGCACGACGATGAAATAACAACTCCAACACACACAACGCTTACTTGATTGTAGGGGGAACATACTCTGTCAATATCAAATTCAAAGTGAAAGAAAAGCAGCGCGCCATATTATCTAGGGTCTCACTATGATAATTGGGAGGCATTTCCAAAACGTCTATCCTTCCTATGTCTATGGATTCCTTATTCTTACAAGTTTGATGAAAGTACATCCAATGGCCAATGCTGGTGATTTGGGAAAAATGTGCAACTCGACTCAAACAAACCAGACAAATTGCACAAGGAATGAGACTGGTTCTCGTAATCAAAGTGATGTAAGTTTATAAACAAAAACTCTATTGTATGTAACTGCAAAAATCATTTTATTTGGTCTGATGAATTAATTTAAAGTCAATGAAATGTTTTGTTGACTGGAAAGAAATGCATTCAAAGAAATGCGGTAGGTGCAAAAAAATCTCATATTAAAAAAAGTCAAAAAGCCACAATAGTCTAACTGAAGCCATTGGGTAAAAGTCATCTTATTGAACAATCTTATAATTTTTGTATTTATTATTTCCTTTATGCGATTTTTATGGCATTATCAGAAGTTGGTTTACGCCAAGCCTGAAACTGAATACGTTTAAAAGGAAAGATTTTTCTATCAAAAACACGCGGAACTTTAGCGCTTTTATTTTAGATACAAACTTCTTCACAGTATAATGTGCAGTGATTTTAGAATTATTTGCAACATTTCCAATATTTATAAGACCACCATCAACTACAATAATTGTACCTCTCCATAATTTCTGTAAGTTATTTATTATCATATGCTCCATCTCGAAATCAAATAATCTAAAGTGTTCACAATATTTTAATACATGTCACACAAAAAGAGACTTAGAATAAAAATCATATCAAATCCTCGTGTCAAGCGCAGCAGAAATGATTTCCGTTTCACAATTACATTTGCGAATTCTTTGTTGCTGTCCAACTTCTGTAAAAGTCTCCACATTCCCCCTTTTGCTAGCACGTAATATGCAGCAAAGACTGCAGAAAATGGCAGTTCTGCGAGTTCGTATTTGAAATTTTTATAACTCATCCCCGAAGCCTTGAGGTGTATCCGCTTCTGAAATGCTTCCGTATTCTGTAATTCGTAACACTTGCTGAGTGCAAAACTTGCACACTTGCAGTGGAAAACTACGTCTAAAAGAAATGAAATAGACTGACAAGAGATAATGCATTGAATTAATGCATTTCTAAAATTTTGCAATTTTCTTCTCCACCATTGAGAAATATGACAGTTTACAATGCATTTAAAATTTTCATATGTTTCATTGAAGAACAAACCCAAGAACAGTATCTCGTTTGGTTATGACACATTAATAACAACAATGGTGGTCTCCACAGTTGGTGTCCTTACAAATGGTCTTCTTATTGTTGTTATTGTGAAGGATCCTTTAAACAAACTAAGACGAGGACCGTGGATTACCATCTTAAGCTTATCTATAGCTGACATCACTGCATCTTTGTCCCAATTCATGATTGTTGGATTGGGTAGATTGTTCGAGGTCAAACCATCAGAAGCTGTCATTTATTCTGTCCTTTTCTTTTGGATGTTTGGGGCTGCGGGCTCATTTTTCACTTGACATCACTCACATGGCAAACTTACATAATTGCAAAGTATCCCATACGTAGCCGACAGATGTTGTCTACCAGAAAATATACATATTATGTGCGACTGTTTGGTTGATTGCCATTTGCATGGCATTTGGTGAACTCACATCAATTTACACCAAGAAAATGAACAGCTTATGTACACCTATATCACAGTATATGCTGTCTTGGAAATCGCTGTTTTACTTCAGATCATATTGAAGTGTTTCATACTTAAGGTTGTACTGCAAAGTCGACAAGACACTAAAGTAAATGCTGAACAGCACAACACTAAACACCTTGAAATTGTAAAGACAATCATTGTGTGGAATTGTCTTATTACTGGTAACTGCATTTCCTTATTTTGTCGCCAAACAAGTGGAGTTTATTCAAAGGCTTGGAAAAATACAAGGTGAATTGGCTTGGCGTTTTTTCTTACTACTACAAACCAGTTGCCATGATGAATTTTGCTGTCAATCCAATTGTGTATGCACTGAGGCTTCCAGATTATCGAAACAGTATGAAGGCGTTGTTTAGAAAGAAGAATACTGTTTTTACTCCAACATCCAAGTCAACGACCTTTTCCTTCCGGTCCACCAATGAAACATTTGCGATGTAACTACATTCATCGTTCATAACTTTATGATTAATATATAAATTTTTTATTTGGGTATAGTATAGGCAATATTAGCTTAGTTTTAAAGAGAAGATAAAAGAAAAAGAAACTATCATGATTTGTAGCGAGATTTAAACTGACTAAAATTTAAAGCCAGCTTTTTGACTTTTCTTTTCATGAGAAAGATCAGGAGTGTAATACTTTTTTAACGGTACATATCATTAATCAAATAAACCTTGAACTTAGAGACGTTACAGATTCGCCCAGTGCTTCGATAAAAAATTTGAAAGAAAAAATGAGTCTTGCTTGTTAGTTAAGTTTTCTATAGCTTGTTGAAAAAATGACAACAAACGTCTTTCATATATCGGCTGCTACTTGGAGAATGTATTGGAAAACAAATACTTCGGTATAAACAGAGCTTCGTTCCATCGCTCAAAGAGTAAGTTGATCTGTTCAAAATAAAGAAAATGTGTACGCAGCTAACGTACAGTCGCAAGTGCACGGACAGCTTAAATGCAGAATCCTTTCATCACAGGCATAAGAGTCAAAAGAAAGAATAGCGATGTACCATCAAAATGAAATTTGCATAGTTTTTATTCTACTTGCGTTATGATAAAAAGTTTGCTTACACAAAAAATTCTTGTGATGACCCAAAGCACAAACTTTCATTGTGTGCTGAAACAGGAAATTTTGCTATAGCATTTATTAGTACGTTATTCTTAACATTGAACGAATTTATGTTTTGAAATATGACAAATCAAGATACCTACAACAAAGGCTTTGCTAAGAATTCTCAATAACATGAGACCACCCTGGGCCCTGGTAAAGCCATAAATTTTTAATAACAACAAGACGTTCTGTACACGAATAAAATTTATTTTGGTGAGTGAATCAGTTCACTGCAATATTGAAGAAAGTAGAATTCAATACATAACGTGGAGGGACATTCGTTTCACTTTCTACATCAATATACAGCCAATTTCCATTTTCTTCTTTGTCAGTACTTCCTGTATACGTAGGAAGTTTGTGTACATCATCATGATGCCCAGCCCAAGATTTGAAGTAGTCGGACGTAGGCGTTAAGCCACTTCGGAGGTCAACATCAACCCAGAAGAATATTTGTTTTGTCTGTTTCAAAACACCAGATACATACACGCGGTCTTAATTTACCATATAAGACATTTTATTTTGCTATCAGTTGAGTATTTGTGAGAAGAAGAGTTAAGAACGCATCACACGACGAACGCGAAAGTCGTTTTTTTATAACATCCAAAACTTATTGTAAGAAGGCCAGCAGACGACAAAGAAGTTAGTCTTGGAGGTATATAATAATTATTATTTGTAATAACAGGATTACGGCGTTTTACCAAACCCTGTCGTTCATTTGAGCTGATAGTGCGATTAATAAAACATTTCGACATGTGTCCTTTAAACCAAATTTTAGTCATCGATTCATGTAATTACCAGACTTTGTACACTTCAAATTAGATTTTGTATAAGTAAATTATATTACTTTTTAGACAGGTGGAACCCGGCGTACATTTCCTTACATAAAATCAATTTCTAAGGTCACGCTATGGTACCTGTACAATATGTTTATAGTTACGTTGTTTTTATATGTTTGTTGAATATATATCCAGTGCCAGTGGTCAAAGCTAGCGACAATTCTATCGAAATGTGCAATTCGATTAAATAGATGAAATAAATTGCACAAGGAATTCCTCCGTTTCGCAAAATAATACAAAAGTAAGTAGTATTATATAAAAAGTATTATAAGTCATGAAAATAAACTTTTGTTGACTGCAAAGAGAAATGCATTCAAAGAAATACATACAAGCATGAGAAAAACGTAACGCGTTTGCTCTTTGTATTACACAACAACGTTACATGCAGTGATTTTATCATGAAATTTGACATTTTGAGAATAAGCAAAACTATTATGTGCAGTTCATTTAATTAGCATTTTGTGGCTTCATGGTAAGCTGTAAAGATAAACATTGCTATCCAAAGTTATTTGGCAAAATCAAATAATCGTATGATAAAACATGCATAAAACGATTTCACCAATATCTCCGAATACGAACGAAAATATCAAAAGATACGAGAAATTGTTTAGAATTACCATTATTCTATGCATTTTTAACATTATCAAGTCATTTTCACTTGCCTGCTTTCTTCAAGAGTTCAAGAGTACCAGGCAAAAGACAATATCTGCATATCTCTCCATGCATATCAAGAACTTCATTTTTTTTATATGTACCGAGATATGATATTTTCATCAATATCTTCTCTGTGTAATGAACTAGGCAACTACATGATATTCAACATTGTTTGTTCCTCGTGAAATTGGAATTTTCATAGCAAAGCTTGTGTTGGTTGCCTTGATAAGAACAAAACATAAAAATTACAACATTCCTCAAATTATGTTTACTTTATGTAGTGGCGTAAAAGTAAGCCCGTATATTTGGTCTTGCTATGCGAATATATCCCTGTTCACACACAGTGGAAACTGAAAAATCAGTTCCTACAAAAATAATTATTGGCAATGTTCTCAAACTCATATATCAGACTAAAACTTAAAAGCTTATGCAAAAGTCGATGATAGTAAAACGACATCATTTTAAGTTTGGTCATCATTTGCAACATAAACATAAGCATAAGAAGAATTGACAGTTGATAATCTTTTGCAGTTATGCTCATGTTTAGACTTTTACCGAAAGTGAGAACCAGAATTTGAGCGTTATAATTTAGTTCCTCGTCTAAAAAGAACAAATTTTTGGTTTTAAAGATATTGCAACATATAATAAACATAAATTTATGTATTTAATATGAAACCGAAGAAAAGTTTCTCACTTCCTCAAGAAATATTAATAACAACAATGGTGATCTCCACAGTTGGTGTCCTAACAAATGGTCTTCTTATTGTTGTTATTGTGAAAGATCCTTTAAACAAACTAAGACGAGGACCGTGGATTACTATCTTAAGCTTATCTATAGCTGATTTCACTGCATCTTAGTCTCAATTCATGATTGTTGGATTGGGTAGATTGTTTGAGGTCAAACCAT